CGAGGGGGGGGCCAGCCGGCGAGGGCAGCGGACATTAGAAGCGGGCTGCTGGTCTGCGGAGGCCCCCCGAGCAGCGCCCCTAAAAACGCTTGGAAACCTGTAACATCGACCTCGACCCTTCGAAGCTTGATCCTCGAACCACCAGGATCCTCGATTCTCGATCCTCGAACCATCTGGCACCTCGAACCATCGGGCTCCTTCGAAGCTCGGGCTCCTCGAACCATCGGGCTGCTTGTGCAAGACAGAGCCCACGCTCCAATCGAGAAGTCGGACCGGCGATCGAACCATGACTCGGCCCGGCGGGCATCGGCGGACAAGTCGGGAACAGTCGAATCGGCGGGCACCGACAGGATAATTATAGTGAGGCCTCCACCGCGACACCACAGTCCAGGTCGGAACTCGAAGGCGAACCGGAACCGGAACCGGAATCGGAGCCGATCGAGATCGAGGAGAGAGCGTGATCCACCGCCGCTTTACTGTGGAAAACTCCCCCCCCTCTTCCTCCGGAACCCCGGGGTCTCCCCCTCCCCCGGCAAAACCCCCCCCTCCCCAGCAGAACACGCAACCCCGTCCCTCCCCCTGGCAAAACCCCCCCCCTCCCCGGCAAAAACCCCCCCCCCCTCCCCGGCAAAACCTCCCCCGGCAGCGTAGAACACGCTCTTTCAGATCGAGTCGGGATCGAGTCGGAGGCGGAGAGGGGCCCCGCGGGGAGCGGCGGCGGCGCAGAGCTGCGCGCCGTGGCCCGCCGGCCTGCCCGGCAGGGGCAGGCACACGGCGCGCGCCGAGGGCGCGGGCCCCGCCCGCGCGCGGCCGCACGGCCCGCGCGCAGAGGGCGCGCCCGCCCGCGGAGCGACTACTACCGCTACTCCTGCTATTACGGCTACTGTTACGATTACTACGACTACGACCACAGGGACTACGACTACGAATCCGATTGCTACGACTACGACTACTACTACGAATACCACTACTACTACTACTACTACTACTACTACTACTACTACTACTACTACTACTACTATTACTACTACTACTACTACTACTACTACTACTACTACTCCTACTACTACTACTACTACCTACCTACTGACTACTACTACTACTACTACTACTACGACGACCACGACGACCACTACTACTACTACTACTACTACTACTTCTACTACTACTACTACTACTTCTATTACTACTACGACGACTACTACTACTACTACTACTACTACTACTACTACTACTACTACTACTACTACTACTACTACTTCGATTACTACGATTACTACACTACGACTACTACTACTACTACTACTACCACCACACCACCACCACCACCAATCTACAATATACTACTATTACTACTACACTACTACTACTACTCCTACTCCTACACTACTCCGAAGGGCCCCCTACTAATACTACTACTACTACTACTACTGACCTTACTACGACTTACTACGACTGCTACTACTACTACTACTACTACTACTACTACTGCTACGACTACTACGACTACTACTACTACTACTACTACGACTACTACTACTACTACTACTACTACTACTACTACCTACTACCTACTACCTACTACCTACTACCTACTACCTACTACCTACTACCGACTACTACTACTACTACTACTACTACTACTACTACTACTACTACTACGACTACTACTACTACAACTACTACTACTACGAAGACGACTACTACTACTACTACTACTACGACTACGACTACGACTACGACTACGACTACGACTACGACTACGACTACGACTACGACTACTACTACTACTACTACTACTACTGGGTCCGGGGAGGGAAGCGCCCGGAGGACCGCGCCGCGCCGGCGATGCCTCGGCGATGCCTCGGCGACGTGGGCGTGGAGGGCATCGGGCTCCACCTCGAGCCGCGGCGCCGAGGCATCGGCGACGCGGCACGATCCTCCAGCCCCATCTGCTCCGACCCCACAAGGGGAAGAACAGAAAGGCATAGAAATCAACGTTTGACGGTCCGCGCGGATCTCTTGAATCTGAGCTGGACACCCCTCCCTGGCGCGCGGAGCGCGCCAGGGGTGGCGCCAGAGGCGCCGCCAGGGGATCCCAGCGCAGATCCAAGAAATCCCCACGGAGCGCCGAACGTTCGGGGGCGAAGAACGGTATAACATAATTTGTTTCCGCCGATCGGGGACGCCTGCACCCCGGGCGGCCGCACAACTAGAAACCCTGCGTGGCACCGTAGAGGTATAAACGCAGGCATCCCTGACGGCGGAAACATGACTTTTACAATGCTCCTCGCCGCCTAAAGCGATTATATGTATGCCGCTTGTTTCGTCTTCGGACCCCACCTGGGAGGCCCAGCGGAGCGCAGGGCAGCACCGAGGCCGCTGGGCAGTGCCGAGGGGGGCCGCCACCACTCTCGGAGCAGGGCCAAGTGGAGACCACGGGACGGCCAGTCTGGGGCACCTCGGGGATGGACAGACCTCCCTTTAGTAAAACGTGGTTTAGCGAAAACGACCTGAGGCCCAAACCTGGCGGGCGAAAGCCTGGAAAATAACGGCCGCGGCGCCCTCTCGAGAACCGAAGACGGTCAATTCACTAATCGACGTGTCACTGCTGGGGGTTCTGTCCACCCCCGAGCACTTCTCTGGACGCCCGAATTATCAGTGATAACGGCGGTCTGGGTAAACTCCGGCTTGGGCCCCCTGCCCCGAAGATTCGGAGCTCTGACTTCTCGTTCTTCTTTGGTGCGCCTCCCCGAAGCTTCTCGTCTCCACGGCGGAATCTGCCCCGGAAACCCAGCCCCCCTCGCCCTGTGACAAAAATCGAGACGGGAAATCTTGCGCCAAGTTCGGCCTCCAGGGGCCCTGACCGGGCCCCTCGGGACCGTCAAAAGGAGACTCGGGACGAAACGCCCGTCCCGAGGAAGCGGTCCATACCTCTGGGGTTCGACGTTGCGACGCACGAATCAGGACGTCGGGGGCCTGGGCTCGGAAATCGTGGATCTTCTGACCCGGGTCAATCCAGACCCGGGTCAGCAGGAAACCAAAAACTGCAATGCAGGAAAAAAGCTGCAACGCAGATCTTCGCAAACCCGGGTCAACCAATATGTGCGGCCGCCTCGCGGCCACGAGCGGCTCGCTAACCCGGGTCAGACAGAGGGGATCTTCGCAGGATCCTGCAAGATCTGCCGCTCTGGCTGACTCCCGTCTGCACTGACCCCCGTCTCAAGGCTCCCGAGGAACACGGGTCGGGATGGACCCCGGGAGGGGTCCAGGGACACGGTTCGAGCGGATCTGGGCCAGGCGGGGGCCGGGAGCGCCGCCGCCGCCGCCGATAGCCCGAATCTCGAACCTCGCTCCGCCCTCCGACCTGCTGAACATTGGGACCAAACGTTCGTAAGTGTGTGTGAAGGAGGAGGAGGAGGGGGAGGAGGAGGAGGAGGAGGAGGAGGAGGAGGAGGAGGAGGAGGAGGAGGAGGAGGAGGAGGAGGAGGAGGAGGAGGAGGAGGAGGAGGAGGAGGAGGAGGGGGGAGGAGGAGCGCTCCCCCCAGCGCTCCCTGTCTTGTGTGTATGTGTCTGTGTGTCTGTGACTGTGTGTGTCTGTGTGTTTGTTTCTGTGGAGGATCTCGGGTCGGACGAAAGGGGGGGGATACCAAAGGGGGTGGTGAGCGAATCAGCTCACGTAGCTGACTTCCCTGGCGCCTCCCAGTGCTTGGGGCACCAGCGCAATCAGCTGCACGCAACAGACTTCGTACCCCCCCCTTTCCCCTAGGCCCCCCGTTCCCCGTTCGCCCGACCCGAACAAGTGTGGGTGCACATGCCAGGCAATCCCACGTGAGCCCAATCCCTGCAGGTCAGATCTCTGAAACACCAGCTGGGACTCACATCTTGAAGGCTGTATGCAGCCAGGCGAACTTCAGCGGGGGTGTCCGATACTCACATGTGGGGTTCGGAAGTGGTCGCGAACGACTCTTGCGACACGGGATCTAGTGGCACATTGTTCGACCGAATTTGAACTTCGCGTCAAACACATACGCTCCAACATGGGCGCCGGGTGTTGTCCGGGAACGCAATCGGGCGAAATAAGGAGCACGTAAGGAACGACACCCCTTGATGGCAGCAAAAGAGCATGGCTGCACGAATAGGCTCCGAGGAGCAACCACGGCATGTCCTTCGGACGAGCGAGCCCCTTCCGAACCCAAAGCGGTTCTCATGTCAGAGTCTCGACTGCAGGACATCGGTTTGAGACACTTGCTCGCAGGCTGGCCTCTTACTCGCCCCGCCCACGGGGGGCGGGGGGGGGCAACCTCCTCCAGGAAACGTTACCCTCTGCATCCCCGGGACGACCCCCGGGAATCCCCATGGGACGACCCAGGACGTCCAAGGCCTCCTCGACCCTCAGCCCGTCGTCGTCCCCCTCCTCCTCGGCCGTCGACTTCCAAGACCAGGGGGAGCGACAACGGGGACCAGCTCAGGGGGGAGGCGCCAAGACCTGAGTCGGCGGATCATGGCCAATCGATCGGCGACAGGGCTGTGAACCCAGAAGATCCTGAGCGGGTTACTTCGGCGGTGGACAAACCTCCCTTTAGTAAACCTCCCATTAGTGAAAACCGGCCTAGGACCGAAACCGACGCACCTGGACCCGCAAAAATGACTGCCGCGACGCCCCCTCGCGAACCGAAAACGGCCAATTCCTTCATCGACGTGTCAGGGTAGGAGGTCTGTCCACCCCCGAGTTACTTAGGCGATCAGCAATGCATAGGCGATGGGGGGTCGATGCGCTCCCACCTGAGCTGATCCCCCCCCCACACGTCGTTGCCCGGTCGGGTCGTACCTCGGCTCTTCGGCGGCCGCTCGGGACGATCCAGGCATCCCCAGAGCGCTCCTCGCAGCTGCTGGAAAACATCCCGAGGCTGGAAAGCCGCCTAGAACCCACGACAGTTCCCGGACATGGGAAACCTCCAACCCCTTAGCATATCCCCCCGCCACCCCTGACAGGAGGAGGCGGATACTCCCCCAGAGGTGGCCCCTCTCTGGCACTTTATGCCCCGAGATCATGGCCCCCTGAGCGGGGACTTTGACATACTGCAAGACACTGGCGCGCTCCAACTCGCTTTCTTCGAGGTCCTGGTTAGCAATGCCCTGGTTCAGGGGGCCCTGGCAAGACCCTAGGCCAGCCTCGCCGCGGGCTACCTCCGCCGGCTCAGGCTGCCCTTCTTGCTGCCTTTCCTGCGGCTCTTGGACCGGCTGCGGCTCTTGCTGCCTTTCCTGCGGCTCTTGGAGCGGCTGCGGCTCTTCCGGGAGCGGCTGCGGCTCTTCCGGGAGCGGCTGCGGCTCTTCCGGGAGCGGCTGCGGCTCTTCCGGGGGCGGCTGCGGCTCTTCCGGGAGCGGCTGCGGCTCTTCCGGGAGCGGCTGCGGCTCTTCCGGGAGCGGCTGCGGCTCTTCCGGGAGCGGCTGCGGCTCTTTCTCCTGGATGGGGGGACCCCTCAGATCCGAGTTTCGCGCAGAAATCGCGACGGCAGCCTTTCGTCGAGTCGGGCCTCGTGTCCCTATAGGACTGACGAGCGCACGGCGGTGACAAGACCTGGCAGGGATCAGGGACCTCATGGCAGGCCTGGTTCGATTTCGGCGCGCCCACTGCACGGTTTGCACAAAACCTTCCTGCGTTGTTTCCGCCGGCTCAGTCTTGCATGGCAGGGAGGGGCAGGGAGGGGGGAAGGGGAACGGAAGGGGGGGCGATGGGGGAAGGGGAAGAACACGGGGAGGAGGAAGAGTGGGGACGTGGAGGAATGAGGAAAGCAGGGCGACTCGATAGGAGAATCGCTGGTGGCACCTCGTGCTCCAGTGAATAATATTTCTGCCCCCACCTCCTCCTCCTTCTCCTCCTCCTCCCTCCCTCCTTCTAATCATCCTTATTCCCCCGCCCCCCCTCCCTCTTGCGAATCCTCCCTCCTCCTCCTCCTCCTCCTGCCAATTCTCCCCCTTTGCGTTCCTCCACCTTCTCCCTTTCCCTCCACCGAATGCTCCCTCTTAAAGACGTGTACCCCCCCTCCTCCGCTTCCTCCTCAAACACCCTTCTCCCTTCCCCTCTGTCCTCACGCCCTGAAGGAAATGGAGGAGGAGGCGAAAGAGGAGGATCAGCAGCAGGAGGAGCAGTACAAGCTTGATCAGGAGACAAAGGAGGTGGCATCCTCAAAATTACCCGAAGCGAATATTAACCACCTAAGAGCTTGCCCGAAGCGAGGGACGAGGATGATAAATCATTGATGTTGGAGGACGTCCTCGAGCTTACCCGTAGTTCCACCCCCCGCTTCTTTCTCCTCCTACAACCAATACCAAAAACAACATAACTCGGAACCCCTGGCCAGCACTCACCCCGTGTAGTAACTGGCTTTGGAAACAGAACATAAGGAAACAATTGTTGACCCGATCTTTGAATATCAACCCTCCTCCTCCTGCACAGAATCGCCCCCTCGGAACTCTCCAAGGATGCGTCTCGATCAGAGTTTTGAGGGGGATCAAGCTGTGACGACGAGAGAGCTCGAGAAACGGATCGAAAACATCCAGAACTTCGATCCTGTACCCTACAACCTCGATGCGAACGGGAACTGTTGCTTAGCCCTTCGCGGCTGCGGCCTCGGCGACACGTTGTGCCATTCGAGCGGATAGTGTGTCGCTTTGCTCCGCGGGGCGGGAGGCTGGGAAAGGCTCGGAAAGTTGACGCCTGAGGAGCGCGGCGCGGTCAGCGTGTCGCGCCGAAGCGTGGTGGGCCAGAGCGAGCGTCGCGACACGCCAAGCTAAACTTCCCGACCGTACACCATCTCCTCCACTGCATCCCCGGGCCCCAGGCCGCGCCTGTCGCGGCTCTTGTCCTTGCCCTTCTCCCGGCTCTTCTCGCGGCTCTTATCCTGGCCCTTCTCTCGGCTCTTGTCGCGACCCCTGTCCCGGCTGCGGCTGCGGCCCTTGGTCCTCAAGGCAGATTTCGGAACGAGTTGTCTGTTCCACGCAGCAGTACGATAAGAAGCTCGGCGACGCAATCGTAAAGCCACAACGTAAGCTTCCTCAAACTCCGTACACACGAACGTAGCAATCGGAAGATTTATAGAACAACGACAACTGTGGCAGAGTCGCTTACCACCACAACGAGAGCTGCAACGAAGACGAGACCGCGGACGACGACCAGGACGGGCATGACGGTAATACGATGTTGACAACCAAACAGACGATGCCGACCAAGGCAGCAACGACCGACGGCGAGATCATGACGACGGCGACGCCCGGACAAAACACGACGGCCTCTAGAGCAGCGATTCGGATTCGTGGCAATCTTGAGGAGGATACCCTGCTCGCTCCTACACCGACTCCAACTCCTTCTGCCCCTCTCCTCCTTCCAACTCATGAACGTTGTCTGTGCCACTTCTCCTCCCTGCTCTCCCCTGCTCATCCCCAGACCCTATGCGCATCATTCCTCCTCCCCTTCCCCCCTGCGCCTCCTGAACGTCCTCCTCATGTCTCCGTGTCGTCATGCCTACTCGTTCTCCGTGTCGTCATGCCCCTTCCACGTGAGGCCCCAGATGCTATCGCCGAGCCAAAAACACACGTCCGAGCGATGCCAAGAGCCCGAAATCCAGAGCCCCTCCCTGAGCTCAGGGCGTTCCTCATCTCAGAGCCTTGGCGGCACGCACGCCAGCTCCGTCGCCGACCTCGCTCTTCCTGGGCGAGCCGATCCTGGGCCCAGGATCCCATGCCGCCCAACCTCGGGGCACGGCGCGCCGCGCGCCACCGCGCTGACCCCCTCGGAGCAGCGCGAGGCGCGATTCGCTCCGCGCCCCCGCGGTCGGTGGTCTGCGCCTTCCTTAGAGGAAGAAAACATGACATAAACATAAAAACTCGGAGGTCCGCGCGGATTTCCCGGATCGGCGCTGGATCCCCCTCCCTGGCGCGCGGAGCGCGCCAGGGGCGGCGCCGGAGGCGCCGCCGGGGGGCCCCAGCGCCGATCCGAGAAATCCGCGCAGACCCTCCGAGTTTTTGTGTTTATGCAATTTTTTGTTCCCCTGTTCCTGGCCAGGCCATGATGGAAGCGCATGCCGCCGAAAGTGCGCCCAGGGTGGGCCGGCCAGGATCGGCGAGGCGGTCGGCTGGCGCTGCCCCGGGCGGGCGCGCTCGCAGGGGTGGGGCAGCTCCTGGAGCTGCCGTCCTTCTCTCTCTTCTCCTCCTTCTCCTTCTTCTCGTCCTTGTCCTTCCGCTCCGCCACGCGCATGCTCCTCTGGAACTGCCGGGCCTGCTCCTCGCGCAGGGGAGGGCGGTGGCCTCTATATCCCGACGGGGCAGATGGTCACGAGGGGTGGCGGAGGTGAGACGATCACCCCGAGCGGCGACCACGCCTGGGTTCAGGCCCTTGCGGTCTGGGTACCAGGGCGCGGCCCCGCGGAGGCGCAGTCGCACGATGATGCGTTTCGCACGGGGCATCTGGGAAAGAGCGCCCCAGCTTCCGCGGGGTCGCGGCCCAGGGGCCTGGCTCGCGAGGCTGGATACGCACATGATGTCCGCCCACGAGATCAGGCAACTCGTTGAGATGGAGGTGGACGGGGATGAGTGCACAAGTGGAGGCAATGCGATAGAGGAGAAAGACGGGAGGAGGAGGAACAGGGAGGTGGGTGCACACGGGGACACGTACGGAGAGGAGGAGCAGCAGGATGAGGAGGCACCGCCTGGGATGTTTTCGTGGAGCATATATGGGGCGTTGAAAACCGATGGGCGCGTCTTAAGCCAGATAAGATCCGATTGCACGAAATAGCACGCGCGTGTGCTGGATTTGGCAAGTTTTTGGCCGCGGATCTACCAGCGCCGATGCTGATTCTCATCTCCCAGGGGTTGCATCCTGAGCAGGCTGGGCCAATGCGCGCCCAGGTGATGGCAGGCAATGCCAGCAGCAACAGCACGCGCCTTCCGACGACTCCGGCATGCCCCTGGAAGGAGGCAGGCGATAGAGAGAGAGAGCTGGAGTGCTCACCCAAAGGCACGCACGAGGCCGAACCAAGTTCTTTGCAAGATGCCCTCAACACGGGAGGGCCCGACAGCCCAGGTTGGCACGGCCCGCTGTCACCTCAGAGGCTCCCAAGACACCCGAGACGCCTGGCCCACATTGGATCGGAACTCTAACCATCTTCTGGCCGTGGCCACAAGGCAGGTGACCTGGCTCGTTGTCGTTGCCTTCGTCATCGTCGACGCCGCCGTCGTCATCCGGTACCAGGAATGGCGACGCCCACTCGTCCTCCCCCTGTCTTATTGCACTAACGCTGACTGAAGCGATCGCCGCGTCATGTTCCTCATCCTCCGCCTCCTTCGTCTCCTACCCCTCAGGAGATTCATGGACGCTCCTCAACTCTCGGCTCCCCTGGGCCACGCCTGCCAGGAGAGGTCCCCTGGCCATGCCGGGATACATGAGCATGGAATAGGGAAACCAGATCGAATCAGAATGTGCACCGGATCGGCCTGCTTCGGTGCGGGGTTGGAATCGGCTCGGATCGGCCGCGCCAAGGCGCAGAACGGCGCCACGCAAGCATCGGATCGCCAGAAAATCAGAACGAAATCGGAACGGGCCGACCAGAACCAATATCGAGCCGGATCGATCGGATCAAAATGCACCCTGCGAAGCGCCCGCCGCATACGCTGCCGCTCCTCCGTCGTGGTCACGTCGCCGCCGTCTCCACGACCTCTCCCAGGGGCGCGTTCTGACCAAGAGCTCGAGGGGCACCCAGCCGCGCGACGAGAAGTGCCCACGAGGCCACAACAGGAGGTTCACCATATGCTAACAAGAGCTCGCCCCTCGATTCTCGAGCTCTCCCGCCCGGCTCATTCGTCGTGGCCGCGCCCCCGCAGTCTCCTCTCGGGAACTGCCCACCACCCCACCCCACCCCATAGTCCGACAGACAACTGGCTCTCGGCTGGACCCCCCATCATGGATTTTGTGTCCAGCCATGGCCGCGTAGGCCACGCAGGCCGCGAGCTCTTTCCACACTCGCTCGCACGGCTGTCAGTCAAACGACTCCCGCTCCCACCCGCCAACTCGATCTCACGACTCTCAACCCCTCCCGCCAGCTCGCCCCGCTCGGGGCGCCAGGGCCCTGGGGCCTCCCAAGACCCTCTCGCGCTGCCACAGAGGTCGCGCCGGGAAACTCGCGCCCATGGTCGGCCCCCTGGGGGGCCCTGGCTGGGCCCCGACCGTCAGAGGACGACTCGGGATGAGAGCCAGGACCTGGGGACTGGGTCGAGACCTTGGGGAGGTTCACGTTGTGAAAACAATACGCAGTCCCTCTCCCCGCTTGGCCCCTCTGTCATGGAAACATGTTTCCCCATCCGCAGGGTACCCTGTAGCAGAGAAGAGGAGGGGGAGTAGGAGGAGGAGGAGAAAGAGGAGGAGGCACAGCGTCGTCTAGATGAGTTCGACGGAGGAGGAGGAGGAGGAGGAGGAGGAGGAGGAGGAGGAGGAGGAGGATGGTGAAGGGGGAAAATGCAGCCGCATCGATCAGGCGAGCCCGGCTCCTCCGTCATGGTCACGCCCCCGCCGTCCCCCCTGGTCGCGCCGAAGCGCTGCTGGAGGTCGCGGTCGCTGTAGCCCGACGGGGGCTTCTTGGAGCGGGCGCCCTCGGCGGCGCGGGTGCGGGTGCTCATCCTCCCCATCCCCCCCCCGCCCTGCCACTTCCATAGCCTCCTCCCTTCTCCGTTTTGGTCCTGTCCCGATCGCTGGCGCATCGGTTGATGAAAATCTGGTGAATGGAATCGCCCCCTCAAGCATCGGCCTAGCATTTCTTTTCCACAGTCGTCGCGTGCCGCCTCAAGGGACCAGGTTGCATCTTCGTCGAGGTCGTGCACATCTCGCTCGCCGTCCCCGTGACGGTCAGGGAAGATAGGGTAACCCTGCACTGAACGACTACGTCGGATAGCCGGTTCCTGCTCCTGATCCTTCCTGCGCCATCTCCAGAAGCATAGGATAACTGCTGCGCGCCATGTTGTGAAAGGGGGCGGTAAACGGGTGGCAACGAAACGTATACCCTTCGTGCCCCTTTTGAGCCCCACGGTGCACCATGTGAGCGGAAAACCAGAAAGGGGGGACCTGGCCCGAAGGCGCTTCACGGCGCACCCACAGCTGCAGTCGAAGCCAGCGCTGAAGTGCACATAGGATAATGGAACGGGCCCACGCTGCAGGTTTGTTTGAAAGCACATCGTTGAGCGGTGCTTCAGCCTCCCCTGAACACAAGCAGTCAGACGTGCGTCAGCTCAGGCGTGATCAAGAGCTCCCGCCATGATCGAGCATGATCGAGATGCCTCGGGAATGTGACTTCAATGCGCCTGGGCATGTGTTTCCGTGACACTTCTGGTGGTACATGATCTTCCTTACTGTCCTCATCACCTTCGAAAGTCTCCTTCTCTTCCACTTTGTTTAGAAGAGGCGGATTTTCTCCTCATCGTTCTCCTGCCCCCCGTCTTCTTCCTGCATCCGGAGAGGGAATACACAGGATGGAAGAGGACAGGGAGGACGGGACAAACTACAGGCAGGATCATAAGAGACGGATGAACGAATTAGAAGGACAATCCAAAGAGGTCCCACCAACACACAAGAGTCGATAAGGTAAGGATGGGTAACTACAGAGGGGAAAAGAGAGAAGAAGAGAAATGTAGAGGAATAGAGAAGAGAGAGAGAGGGAAAGCGATAAAGAGAGAAATATAAACAAGCACAGAGAAGGACATATACATATAGCGAGAAAAAGACATAGGCAGAGTCATAGAGAAGCGGCACAACTGGGATGGTGGCCTCAATGCTGGGACCTCCTTCTTCTGGAGGTATCTGGATCTCCTGTCGGCCCGCATATCAAATCGACAAGGGGTGCTGCCAAGTGCCAGAAAAGGGCGGCATGGAAGGCCAAGGGGAACGATGATGCGGAGGAGACTGAGCAGGAGCAAAGGTAAGAACACCATTTGCAGGCCCAGAAAGCGGCATAGACAGAAACGCTCTCGGAGTTTCACCTGCGCTTTCTTTTCCGTGTACTAACGCTGTCGAAAGATTCGACGTCTGACATAAACGTTTGTCGATGCCTTTCTTTGCGTCGTCTAAAACGTTTGTCGACTAACGTTGTCGAAAGATTCGACGCCTTTTTGGGGGGCGTTTGACACAAACGCTGTCGAAAGCTTCGGCGTCTGCGTTGCTCGCAGGGGCGGAAGCGGGGAACACACGAGGGCCTGGGGCCCCAACGACGTGGCCGAAAAATCGCCGCGCTCACCCCAAAACGCCGACGGCGGCATTCCCAAGACTGGGGATCGACGAAATTGAAGGGGCCCTGGGACACGCAAATAAATGCACACAAATAAAAGGATTCCCCATATTTTTTGGATTTTCGTCTTCCCCCCCACTTCCCATATTTTCCCATATTTTCTGGGGAATCGAAGATTAATTGTGTCTGTGTGTTTTTTCCTCTCCTGAGAAATTTCGGACAACGCCCACGTGGCGGATCCCGGAAACCCTGACCCCAACTTGCGGGAGCCGGCGGCCTGTTCGGCAACGACGGCTGCAGAACGCCAGATGCGCCCGGCGAAGTCGCGCTCGCCACCGCCGCCGCGCCCGCGAAGGACTCGTCCACTAACCTTGAGCCGCGCCAGCTCGCCGCGGCCTGCGCAAGAACGCGTGCACAGGGCCGCGGCAGCATCCGCACCAGGGGGCCGGTCATGCCACCGCTTGCGCCAGCGGCGCCAGCGGGTCATGCTCTCAGCATCTGCTCGACACCCGAAGGGAGGAAGTGGGCACGCCCTGCGCAGGGCGTGCTGCACTCCCGCGGCGCTTCGGCCAGAGACTGCGCCAGCGCACTCGGGGAGAGTGAGGGTCCCCAAGAGGGGCACGGTCATGAGCGTTTGCTCAGCCTGTCGCGGCGGCGGCCTGGCCCCGGCAACACGGTGTGCACTGCGAGCGGATAGCGCTGTCGCTCCGCTCTGGGGGGCGGGAGGCAGGGAAACGGCTCGGGACGCCGACGCTTTGGAAGTGGGGCGTGGTGAGCGTGACGCGCAGGAGCGTGGTGAGCCAGAACTGGCGGAGCGACACGCTGAGCAAATGTTTCCGACCTTGGGGGGCAGCGGGGGTCGGGCAGACCCCCTGCGCTCAAAAGTGTCTTCCTGGGGCTGGAGGGGGGGGGGTCATAAACGCCAAGGTTTCGCCCGACACCCTCCTGCCCCAGCCCCTCTGTGCGAGGCGGGGACCCGTCCACGACCACTGCATGGGGGCCGATCCTCGGGGAACGCGGCAGGCGGTGGATCCGGACAGATCTGGCCCCCCCCCGGGACCCGAACACCGAACATCGTTACGTCCTCGTCCACCGCTCGCCGAGGCCCCCGAAGATCGACTCGCCAGGCGGCCGTGATGGCCACACCCCCACCTCGGGTGCGCCCTCTCTCGCTCTCCGCTCGTCCGAGTGCCTGCCCGCGCCTGTCTGCCTGCGCACCGCCCTGCCTCGTCGCGGCCGTGGCCGCACGTGTCCGCCTGCCTGCCCCTGTCCCTGCCCGTCTCAGCGTCGGTGCCTGTCTGCCCGCATGGCAAGTGTCTCCGCCGGACGGCCCCTATACTTCAGCGGCAGCTCATGGTAGCCCACCATACCATATTCCTGGCTCCTGCGAATCAGCGCTGGCCGACGCGAAGCGACGGTCCCGCTCCTTGTGCGAGGGGAACAAAAAGGGGGGATCGCGGATTGGCTCGGGGGGAGCACTTGCCGGGCGGTGCATCGCCGACGGATCGCCAATAGGCCCAGGACAACGACCCCGATTGTTCCTGGGTGGGGTGAGCTATGACGCCCCCCTGAGCCGATCCCGATCCCCGTCCAAACGTTGCCCCTGAGTGTCGCCCCGAATCTCTCGACACATGTCTGGCAACAGTCTACCAATATTAGCCAGTCTCTCCGTCAATCTCGGTGTGCCTCTGGGAATCCCCACACGCCTCTTTTTCTCTCCCTCTTTTTTGTTCTCTCTCTCTCTCTCTCTCTGCCCGTGCCCAGGTGTACCTGTCAGTGTGCGCCTGCCTGTCTCACCACCCCTTCCCTTCCCTGATTCCCTTCTTTTCTTCTCGTCCTCCGCGCCGCCCATCCCTCCACACCACGCTGTCCTGTTCTTCTTCCATGAGGCGGCTCATCTGCACCGAAACGAGGCCGACAGAATGCACCAAGCAAGCCCAGAATCACGCGGCCGACTCCAGAAACTCCAGATCCAACAACGTTGACGTCCAGCTGAGCGACGAAAAGCGTCGGGTCTAAGGCGAGATGCCACAGCGACCTTCCGCGGTGGCTTACCGAGGCCGCCAGCGCGGAACCCCACATTGGAACCACGAGGGCGCTTACGCGCGATCTTACGCAGGCGGCTACTGTCCGCGCCATCGGACCTTTTTTTGCGCGACGCCCAACGGCAAGCCGCAAGCCGCCCTCGCTCTACCCAGCTACACGCAGGAGCGACCCTGGGTAAGAGTGACCTTTGTGAAGGGGCCTTAGGACACACACATAAACACACACAAATAAAAGGATTCCCCATAATTCCTATGTTTTCTGGGTTTCTGTCTTCCCCCCCCACTTCCCATACTCTCCCATATCTTCTGGGGAATCGGCGATTTATTGTGTCTGTGTGTTTTTGTTTCCCTCCCGATTTTGGTGCGGCGCCCTCGAGGGGCCGCGGGTGGCCCCAAAGCCAGCGCGCACGAGGCTGCCGGCCGCCTCGCGGTCGGCGACCGGGGGGACCCCGGTGGGCTGGCGCCAAAAAGGTCACTCCGGCAGTGTTTCCACCGCGGGCCGGGCGAGGGCGAAGGCGAGGCCCCCTTCCTGGGGCGCCCCCATCGGGCGCTGCTCCGTGGCCGGTGGTGCTCAGAGCGCGTGCTGGCGCCACCGTGCGCCTGTCCACAGAAGCCCTTCGAGACGACGCGGCCGCTGTCACGCATGGGGGGCCGAACGGGGCAAACACACACATTCGGCCAGCACATGTCTGGAGGATCATGGAATTGGGGGGGGCGGACACGAGCGGGGGGGGGGCTGAAGGGACGCGCACCTTCCGTCTTCGCTTCCAGCACCTGTCGCCCGCACGCAGGAGCGGCCCCCTTCGCAGGAGTGACCCGTGGTGCGCGTCCTCCGTGGGCCGCGGGGGCGCCAGATCGGCGCGCGCAGGCACGTGCAACGGCCAACCCGGAGGAGGAGGAGGAGGAGGAGGAGGAGGAGGAGGGAGAAGGAGGAGGAGGAGGAGGAGGCGGAGGAGGAGGAGGAGAAGGAGGAGGAGGAGGAGGAGGAGGAGGAGTAGGAGGAGGAGGAGGAGGAGCAGCAGAAGGAGGAGGAGGAGGAGGGGGTTGACCCGCACCAGGGCTCACCCCCGGCGAACGGCCCCCTCTCGACGCGCATAGCCGCGCGGGAGGCCCCGAGAGCTCCGGGCCCCGGCGGCCCGCGAGCGGAGGCGCCCTGCTGCCCCGCCATGCTCCAGGCCTCTCCGGCGAGCGGAGTTCTGGCGGCGCGCACACGGGGGTGGGGGGAGGGGGGAGGGCCTCTTAGAAGTACCCTGATCATTGGATACTGGAATTTTCCAGTCGCGACCGACGAGAACGGTCGCTACCGATTCTGCTTCAAATTTCGGTATCGGTCGCGACCGATTTGCTTCAAAATCGGTCGCGACGATCGGTCGCGACCGATCGGTGGCGACCGGACACGACCGATCCGCGATCGGCCGCGACCGAATTGGAGTGCCGATCGGTCGCTACCGATCGCGACCGAAAAAAATCAGTATCCCATGATCTGGGTACCCCTGCTTCTTAGAAGGCCCGGGACTTCTCTGTGGATGTCAGGCCTGCGCCTTCTAAGAGGCAGCCTCCTTTCTCTAAGGAGCCCTCCCCCCTCCCTCCACACCCTTCTACGCGCCGCCAAGAGGTAACGACTGGGTGCCCCGGCGGAGAAGGGGAAGCGGCGCCGGCGCCAGCCAAGGGGGGCATCGGGGTCGGAGGCCCGGGGAGGGGGGAACCCCGAGGGGGGGGGGGGGGACGGCAGGCGCACGATATCGCTGTCCTTCGGGGCCCGGGGAGGCCCCCTGTCGGGCCCCCCCGCTCTTGCAGCCCCCGCCCCCCTCCCTCCCCCTTTGATCGTCCAGCCATCCCCTGAGATCCGAGGATCTGGGAACAATTGCCGCATCGCCAAAATAACCCTCCACCAGAGCCCCAAGCCGCATCTGTCTGCTGCAATGTTCGAGCAGGAGCGGTCTCTGATGCTCACGGGGGCACCCGGGCGTAACCCCCCCGTGTGACGAAATAGCAACGCCTGGATCTCAGGGTTACAAAACACACGAAGCCTCCCGATCATCCAGTCTGGCCTGCATGCCTTCAGGCGCCGCGGCTGCTCGTCTTGTTCTGTGTACATCGCCGACTCGCAGAGGTCTGGACCCGATCCATAACTTTTTTTTTCCAGCCCGAGTCGTTTCCTGACGACCACTGGGTCCAGCGATGAGCCTTGGACACCGAATTTTGAACAAAAAAGCCCGCCTCCCCTTTTATGATCAACGAGAAGATGTGGGGCTCAAGGCGACGCGGGTCTGCTCTGCTCCCCCCTGCCCCCCCTCCCCGCTGTGGCCTTCGATCTGGCGTACACGCAATTGCCGAGTTTGTAGCCAGCGCGGATGTCCTCCCCTTGCTGGCCCGCCCTCCTCGTCCTCCTCCTCCAACTCCTCATCCTTCTCCTCCTTCTCCTCCTCTTCCTCCTCCTCCTCCTCCTACCTCGTCTTCACCCTCTTCCCTATCATTTTCTCTCCTCCTCCTCCTCCTCCTCCTCCTCTTCCTCCTCTTCCTTATCCCTCACCAGTCTCCTCATCGTCCTGTCCTCCTCCTCCTCCTCCTCCCTCCTCCTCCTGTCCTCCCCCTCCTCGTCTTCCAACCGTATCCTCCTCATCCAACCCCCTTTGCTTCCCTCCTCCAGTCACTCTTCCCAGCGACGCCTCCTCCTCGTCCTCGTCCTCGTCCTCCTCCTCGTCCTTCTCCTCCTCCGGCTCCGGTTTCCCACTTCCTCCTTCTCCTCCTCCTCCTCCTCCTCCTCCTGCTCCTCCTCCTCCTCCTCCCTTCCTCGCTCCCCACCCCCCTCCCCCGCATTCTCCACCACCCCTCCTCCACCCCCATTCCACTCCTCCTCCTCCTCCTCCTCCTCCTCCTCCTCTTCCTCTCCGCCTCCGCCTCCTCCTCCTCCTCCTCCTCCTCCTCCTCCTCCTCCTCCTCCTCCTCCTCCTCCTCCTCGTACTCCTCCTACTCCTGCTCCCTCTCGTCTTCTCCCCGTCACCGTGCTCGCAGTCGGTACCCTCACCCTCCCACTCCCCACCTCCACCTCCCGAGGATTCCTTCCTGGCGAAGCAGCGAGGTTGCGGGCTCCCGCTCGAACGAACCATGCTGCGAGCCAGCAGCCGTCGCCATTGCCAGGGCGGGAGCCCCGGGAGCCCCTCCGCCAGCATGTAGGATCCTGTCGGCCTGGCCACCTCGGGGGACTGCCGGGCGTCCCCTGCTCGATGCAGGGTGGGGTGTGAGAGTGGCAAGGAGGCCACGCTGCCCTGGCCCTGCAACCTGGCCATCCTGACGCTGGAGCCCCTGCTCGTCTCCTGCGAGGCCGCGCTACACCCTGGCGCCCCCTGCGCGACGCAGGCTGCCATCCTGGGGGATGGCGGGGCGTCCTCTGCTTAATGCCGGTCGGTGGCGCGCCCAGAGCATCAGGGCAGAGGGGCGGGCCCTTCTCGGAGGCCCAGGAGGCCTCGGAAGCCACAGAGGGCTTCTCGGAAGGCCTCCGAGAGGTCACGCCGCCTTCCAGGAACGACTGGCCCAGGCGGGGGCGAGGAGGGGGGGGGGAGGAGGAGGGGGAGGAGGGGGGGGAGGAGGAGGAGGAGGAGGAAGAGGAGGAGGACGAGGAGGTGGAGGGGGAGGTGGAGGGGGAGGAGGAGGAGGGAAGAGGAGGGAGAAAGAGGAGGAGGAGGAGGTGGAGGAGGAGGAGGAGGAGGAGGAGGAGGAGGAGGAGGAGGGGGAGGAGGAGAAGGGAGGAGGAGGGAGAAGGGGGGGGAAGGAGGGGGGATGGGCAAGGGGACTCTAACTTGCTGCCCTCGGCGCGCCACCAAGCAGGACGGCGTCTGAAGCAGCAGCCACGGTGGGGAACGGTGAGACAACAGTTCCCGCCGTGGGCAAGGCTGTGGACCTTCGCAACTTCCTACATGTCCTCCTCGCCCTCGTCTCGCAGCCTGCGCTCTTGCACTTCCTTGTTGAGGGTCGGCGGAAGCGGCCGTAGGCCCAACCCTGACATCCGCAAGCACACTTTGCCCCAGCGGTCTCGACCGTTTCCTGGGGGGTAGTCTTTCGTCTCGGATCCATGTTTGATGGGCCTGGGACCCGAAGACGACCCCAAAGGGCCAAAAACGAGGGAAACTGCCAGAACCAAAAAAACCATGAGGTCGGAGATGTTGTTTGCCGGCGCACTTACTTGGAGATTGGGGCAGGAACGAAGAGGGGGAGGGACGCGGACGCCTGACCCAGGTGTCACATGTCTCGTCTCAATGCGATGCCGAGGCTACGGCGTGAGTGGGCGACCTGCGGCCAGAGGCATACCGTCGAAATTCTGGGAATGGTTCCCGCGGCGGGGAATGCTGTGGAGATGGCGGCCAAACCATTTCTCAAAGACAACGACGGCGTACGCGAGCGGGCCCGGATCCAACTCTACTGATCATCGAGCAGGGCGCTGCTGCGGGCGGCCGCCACAGGGTATGTCGTAACCGTCGTCCTACATTGCGCCCGCGTGGTGCCTTGATGTCGCCAACTCCCCATTGGTCGGAAGAAGCGGCTTCATTGGAAGTATGAAGACGTCGAAATCAGATTAGGCTTCCGCCCGCCTCCTGAAGAGGAAGAATGAGGACGAACCGCTTCACTATTCAAATAAGAGGACGCCTACAGGTAATTAATGCGGAAATGACAACTCCTGCGCTCAACGACCGAAGGGTGCCTTTCCTATGACGCCTGGCGTTGATTGGGAAATTGGCCATGCCGTGGGCACACAGACTGAACGCCCGAGCTGTCCCAAGGGATGGCTGCTGGATCGCGCAAAAGACGTGCGTACACGAGCCATGCATTACACCCTGCGAAATGCCTTAGAAATCATGGGTTAAGAAACTCACAGTCTCAGAATTTGAATAAAAACCCAGAATGTCTATTCAAATCTTAGGATTTACATTGAAACATTAAGAATAATCGAAACTCTGGCCGAAGACTTGGGTTTTCTGAAGCATCGCCTAGAGTGTACAGCCGTCGCGCTACCTGGAGGACGCTCCAACAAAAACGAAGAGGCCGGCCTGAGCACGGCGGGCCTTGGCCACGAAAGGGTTCCACGGCCTATATTGAAGGGGCCCCAGGACACACAAATAAATACACACAAGAACACCCCCATATTTTCCCATATTTTCTGGGTTTCTGTCTTCCCGCCCAATTCCCATATTTTCCCATATTTCCAGGGGGAATCGACGATTAATTGTGTCTGTGTGTTTTTTTCCCTCCTGATAAATGTAGGGAACGGCCGGGAACCAGACCCCCGACTGAGCCCAAAATGGTCTTAACTTCAGCGTGTTGGCCATACCTTGGTGACGCCGTTTCACGTCACGACGACGCTGAGCGCTGCACAGCAGCGTGGCCATGCTGTGAGCCCACAGACCGTGATCGTCAGAGCGGTCCCGGGAGATGGTCGTTGGCTCGGGCAGCCGACGTGCGTACACGAATCATGCGATAGTGTGCGCTTGAATTTCTAGCGGATGCGCAGCCTCGAGGGCAGATCTGCAGCTCTCGCAGAGGAGGCCACCACGTGTGAGATCGAGACTCGCAGTGTGGACAGGTTGCAAACGACCTCGCTGAGGGCCAGGGACGTACCCAGAACCATGTGTACATGCTGCGCTGGTCTTTACATGGGCATGCTTAAAATTAACAGTTCGCACCCCTCATTTACAAGCCTCCTCGTCCACAAAATCCCTTGGAGCCTTCAGCTTCATGGACACAAGCTTGCTCGGTGCATTGGAGTTCTCCAGATGCGCCCCGAGGATCTTCAGGTCCTGGGCCAAGCGGGTAGCCAAATCACTTCTCAAGAGTGGACCTAGCCAAGGGAGGCGAGATCAGAAACTTGTTCTGGGGACCCGACACGTACAGATGCCGCTGCTCCCCGGCCCCGGGCCTCTCCTAGGGTGCGACCTGGCCGAAGGGTCCCGTGTCGCCACGGCCGGGTGGAACGGCATCGGCATCGGTACCTTGACACCCTCAGGAGTATGTTGAGTCATTCCTCCGTGCCTCGTCGCCCAACCCGCACAGAGAACACACACACACAACGACGCCATTGCACGGACTGTGCCACGAGGCCCTTCGGTGGAGCTTCCCATGGGGCCCAAAAAGCGTGTGAGGTGTGCCAGAACAGAGACACGAGAAGGGCAGATGCAGGGGATGGGAGGAGGGTGGAGGAGGAGAGGAGAGGAGGAGAGGAGACGTGCGGCGCTGTCTCTCCGAAACGAGGAACCAGCACCACAGGACGCTTGGGAACCATTGAGACAAAGCCATCGCAGGCACTCTGGGTGCCCAGGGCCCCTTCGGCCGCCGACGGGGCCCTGCGATCGGGCCGAGGTGGCGTCAAATTCCAGACGGGCTCGGGAAGAAGCCCCCGGGGCCCACTGTTGCTGCCGTGCAGGAGGTGGACAAGCAGGTCGGGCGTTCGGCAGGGGGGGGCGATCAGCTAGGGGGGGGAGAAACTTTTGGTCGGCGGGTCGAGAGCGGGCCTCTTCCGGTTAAGAGCTAGGCGGGGCGCGCAAAGCACTAACTGGGGAGACAGGGCGCGGGCGGGCGGGGCCTCAGGCGGCCGGAGGGTGCGGGGTGCAGGGGGGGGGGAGAAACATGCACCTTTCGTCCCCCTTTGGGCCCTAGGGTGCCCTTTCAGGGCTCCTTCGGGGCACAAAAGCTGCACCTATCTTCACGCTCCCATTCATCGCACCCCCAGTATTTGACGCCCAAGCAAGGGGCCGACCCACCTCCCGCCCTGTGTTCGACCTCTGTAGCCTTCACCAAGCCCCTAGCCGTCAAAAACGACTCGGGATGAATATAAACAACGGGTCCCAGAGGCAGGAGTTCCAGACCTTTGGTGGTCGCATTGTGAATCATGTCGACGTCAGATATATGAGACTGCTAAGGGGAACGCTACCTTAGCGAATCAGCTGCGTGCAGCTGGTCTGGGCGGCGGGTCGAAAGCCAGCGATTGACATGCAGCAGATGTCGTACCCCCCTTACCCGATTCCCCCCTTCGTCTGGAATGATCACCACGTCCAAACTTTTCCATCTGATCGAGCGGCATGTCATGTGTTCTATTGCCGCTTTGTTTCCTGTGGGGGGGGAGAATGATGAGGACAACTGACGGGCGACAGCGCAAGAGTCCGAATGCATCATAAACGTGCCCAAGCGTGAGAAGTCGCAGTACCACTGCCTTGGGGCGTCGTGATTCGAGGGGGCAGGATCAGTACGTATCGGATCGGGCCGCGCCGGATCGAATCGGACCATGAGCCGGCTAGAGCTGCATCGGCACGGAGTCGGAATCGAAACGAATGGGCCGCGCCACATTGCACAGCATCGCCATGCAAACATCGGGAGAATCGGTGCCGAACCTGATCCAGACATACCCTGGCGAGGGGGTGGAGGAGGGGGAGGCTAAAGCCGCCGAGTCCCCATACATCCGACGCGTCCACTTCTCCATGCTCTTCTCATGTGCGGAGACTGCGCTCGCCTGACACCTACGACTCGAAGTGCCTGCACACCCAGGCGAGCCCCCTGTCCGCCAGCCTGGCTCGATCGGCGCACCCCCCAACAATAATAACAACAACAACACCACCAACAACAACAACAACAACAATCATTTTAAGAGCGTTCGCCCTTATATGCTCGAGTGTGCAATAACGCGTATTTCCCAAACCCTCGATACCCGCCCTCTTCGTCTTCGATCGAACCCCTTTTGGGGGGTATACCTTTCTTCCCTGCAGGCCGGGCCCCGGCAAGCGGCGGGGCGGCCGCGGACCGTCGGCCTGGCCAGCGGCAGCGCTGATCGGCGGGGCGGCCGCGGACCGTCGACCCGACCCCAAGAGGGACGGACAGGGGACCGACCACGACGACGACGACGACGACGACGACGACGACGTCGAAGACGACGGCGACGACGAGCGAAAGCGAGAGCGAGAGAGAACGACAGCAGGGTCACAAAGGGCACGAAGTAGGCCACGAAGGGCGACAGCGGGGACACGAAGGGAATGCGTATGGGGCACCGACGAGTGCGAACGAGCGGGGGCCACGAAGTGCAGATAATGCGGGGCCAGAGAAGGCAACTATGGGGCCACTGAGGGTAGCAACTGGGACACATAGGACAATGAGGGGGGCACAAATGGCGACAGCGGGGCCACGAAGGGCATGCACATGCGGCCACAACGGGCGCGACTCCTGGGTGCCTGGGTGTCGGGAGCGCGGCGCTTGGCCAAATTGCAAGAAATTCCAACGCAAGGCTATTCTTCAGTTAGTTGCAAGCAAGTCTCCTGCGAGAGCGCGACTCCAGAGCTCCGGGAGAACGATTCCTGAATAAATTGCAAGGAAATCCCAAGCGAGAGCGCGATTCCTGAATAAAATGCGAGGAAGTCTCGGGCGGGAGCGGGGGTCCTGCCTAAATTGTAAGGAAGTCTCAAGCGGGAGCCGTTGTTGTTGTAACCTGGGGGCCAGGAGGCAAGTTTGAGCAGGAAGATTTTCCTTGTCAAAAAACAAGGTGCGAGCGTCGAAGGGCACACTTTGATTGAGAAAAAACAGTATGCACCGGTGTGGGGGGGATCAACAATAATTATTCTTCAGAAAAACAACAACAACAACAACAACAACAATCATTTTACCCGAACGCGTGGTGTTCTCCCCAGTGCCAGGGTTTTCATACGACACCAGGCAATACCCCCACTTCGTGGGGGGGCATTACAAGCTCTACCAAATATCCAAACGACTCTTCGCGACCACCCAAACCCAGCTTCCCGCCCTATGACGTTGGGACACTTCACTTCGTGGCGTGCGGACGACCGTGGCTACTACACTGGCGTGGGGTACACACCCACAGAACCCAATGGTTTTTGGAGATTTCGGCGTGCGCGCGCGAAGAAAAAACGAATGTGTCCCGCATGGTATTATTTGACAGGGATGATGGCCCTGGCAGGTGCGCAACCGTTGTCGCAGAAGTTCGAAAAAGTTGCTCGCAAAAGCCCGTTTGACAGAAATGTTTAAAAAGTGTTGGGTTTCCTACGAATCCGCAAGAGCGCGCGGGATGAGATTTTGACATTTTTTTGTTGAAAAACCATTGGTTTTTTGATGTTTTTATGTTAAAATCGCTCCGAACACTAAGCTTTTGGAAGGATTTCGTCTTGCGCGCGCGAATGTCCACTTTACCTTATTTTTTGCAAGGGATTCTTGAAATTTGATTATATTAGAACAAGAAATGTCATTTTATAGTGTTTTTTGCAAGGGAAAACGGATTACAACAAAACAACCGGATCCGGACACAATCCACTTTTCTGAAGCTTTCGCGAAAAAATGATGAAAATGTAGCTGCGGCCTAGGTTTTGGAGGGGGGTCGTGTACCAGGGGTCCCAACAATAATTATTCTTTAGAAGTAATAATGTTCAACAACAACAACAACAACAACAACAACAACAACAATCATTTTACCCGAACGCGTGGTGTTCTCCCCAGTGCCAGGGTTTTCATACGACACCAGGCAATACCCCCACTTCGTGGGGGGGCATTACAAGCTCTACCAAATATCCAAACGACTCTTCGCGACCACCCAAACCCAGCTTCCCGCCCTATGACGTTGGGACACTTCACTTCGTGGCGTGCGGACGACCGTGGCTACTACACTGGCGTGGGGTACACACCCACAGAACTTGGTCACTTATTCGGGGCGCGCATGTGCCCAGCATGGTGCAATTGTGCCATACAATACATAATACAGAGAGACAGAGAGAGAGAGAGAGAGACAGAGAGCAGACAAAGAGAGAGACAGAGAGAGCGGACAGCGCGCGCGGGTGGAAATTTTGAAAAGTCGTGCAGGTGTTTTTCGAGGACCTACGGTGCGATTCGTGTGATTTTATGATGCGCGGTGCTAAAATCCTTAAGAACCCAATGGTTTTTGGAGATTTCGGCGTGCGCGCGCGAAGAAAAAACGAATGTGTCCCGCATGGTATTATTTGACAGGGATGATGGCCCTGGCAGGTGCGCAACCGTTGTCGCAGAAGTTCGAAAAAGTTGCTCGCAAAAGCCCGTTTGACAGAAATGTTTAAAAAGTGTTGGGTTTCCTACGAATCCGCAAGAGCGCGCGGGATGAGATTTTGACATTTTTTTGTTGAAAAACCATTGGTTTTTTGATGTTTTTATGTTAAAATCGCTCCGAACACTAAGCTTTTGGAAGGATTTCGTCTTGCGCGCGCGAATGTCCACTTTACCTTATTTTTTGCAAGGGATTCTTGAAATTTGATTATATTAGAACAAGAAATGTCATTTTATATGCAAGGGCAAGGGAAACGGATTACAACAAAACAACCGGATCTTGATGACATCGTATTACCTGAGGCTTCCTCACGAAAATGATGAAAATGTAGCTGCGGCCTAGGCGGCGCAGGGGGGCCGTGCACCAGGGGTCCCAACAATAATTATTCTTTAGAATTAATAATGTTCAACAACAGCAACAGCAACAGCAACAGCAACAGCAACAACAACAACACCACCAACAACAACTGTTAAAACCCGTCGTCCTCACTATTTTTAACAAAAAGACGAAACTTTGCGGGGTGGGCGGCAGGCTGGTCGCGGGTGGGTCGCGGCGCGCGGTCGCGGAAAGGGGCGTCCGTTGGTCAGCGCGAACCCGCACCTGGCGGCGGAGATGGGGGGAAGCAAGAAGAGAGGGCCGAGCAAGGGAGAAAACCATGTGCGAAGGAGGAAAAGGGAGAGGAACGGGCCGAGTCGGGAACCAGGAAAGGGGCGGAGGCAAGAAGGGAAAGGAGGGGCAGAGGAACACAGGGGCGAGAACTGTGCGAAGTGGGGCGCGGGGATGGGGCCGAGGAGCGGGCCTCCCCGAGTCGGGGGGGGCAGGAAAGGGCGGGGGGGATAGTGGTAAGGACGGGGGGGAAGTAGGAGGCGAGCAATGGGCGAGGGGCGGAACAAGCGCTGTGGCGAACGAATT